TAAATATGTATTAATTACAAAATAACTAAATAAATATTATTATATATTTAATTATCTTGTTTAGTTAAACTATTATTATCGTTAATGTTGTTTTTTATATGAATTTATATTATTATATTTTATTTATTTTTGTATATATTAAATAAATATTTACTAAATAAGTAAATATATTAAAAATATAATGAATAATATGTTTTTATTTTAACATATTTAAATAAATAAAGAAATACATTAAAAAATTATATTTTATTTTAAATTAATTAATTAGTTAATTAATTAATATGTATATATATATAGTAATAAATATATTAAATAACTAAATAATGTAGATATTAAATTAATTTATATTAAATAAATAATTACTTTATCAATTTTATTTAATTAAATATTTACAAACTAAATAATATTATTTGTATATTAAATAAATATTTACTAAATAAAAAATATATTAAATAATTAATAAATAAATATATTATAATAAATAAATATACTAAAAAATATAATATATAAATAACCTAATATTTATTATATAATTAGATATATTATGTAATATAATAATAAGTAAATATATTTAATAAATCAATATGCTAAATATAATTAAATTTAAATAAGGTAAATAAAAACACAACATAAATGATAACATAAATTTTGTTAAACAACATACGATATGTATTTCTAATATATATATTTAATAAATTTATAATATATTTATTATTTAGTAAATATTTATTTAATATATAAAAAATTTCATAATATATATAAATTATTTAATAATTATGTATAAATTTATATTTAAAAGAAATATAAATTGAATAATATATGTGTTTATATTATAATAAAAAAACAATATCGTATTATTTAATTTTATTTATTAATATAATAAATAAGAAATAACATTATATTATTGAATATGTTTATTTATTAATTTATATTTAATATATTTATTTAATTGGTAAATATATATTTAAATAATAAATTTTTTTAATAATATATATTATGTATTTAATAAATTAATTATTAGTTTTATAATTAAAAATATTATAAATTGGATAAAACGTTCTTGATTGATAAATAAGTGAAGTCAAATAAATATCAAAAGGTACGCTTGGTCAGGTGCTTCATAAGGCCATTGGATTGCCTAGCATCCCGGGTTTGAAACCCCTCATCCCCATCTTTTTGTAGTTATGCCAAAAACAAATCATGTAATTATGCCACATAATGCCACGTAACTCAAAAAAAGAAAGAAAAATTTATGCCAAAAAAAAATTATGTAATTATGCCACATAATGCCATGTAACTCAAAAAAAGAAAGAAAAAATTATACAAAAAATTCACGTAGGCTAGACGGTAAAGATCTGCATTTATTGTGTCAGGTCTAAATCTCAAGTTTTTTTGCATTTACGAGACGTATTCTAAAAATGGGTATCAGGGAGGACCAAACCTCAAATGAATTTACACGATTCCTAGAAGAATGCACTAAACATTTATTAAAAATTACCGCAGGGGTTATACCGCATGGTGTACCCTTCATTGAAAACGTATTCTGAGAATACGTTTTTTAATTAAATTATTTGAGAAACGTATTCTGAGAATACGTTTTTCAACCAAAGTGTAAACCATGCGGTACAAGCTGCGGTACGTGTAGCATTGTCCTAAAAAAAATACACAGGATTATACAAAATATCCCGCAACCATATATTTAAATCAATAATCATACACTACAAGAAAACACTTCAATTCCAACGAAAAATTCCAACGGAAAAATTTCCATTGGAAATTCCAATGAATATTCCAAAAAAATTAATTTTATGTTGGAAAAAGTGTTGGATGGTTGAGGAATTCCTACGGATTTTTTCCGTTGGAATAGCTGTAGGAAATTATTTCCATAGGATTTTCCGTTGGATTTTAGCTATTCCAACGGCCATTTTTCCTACAAATTTTTATACGTAGGAATATCCGTTGGAATACCTATTCCAACGGATATATAAAGAATTCCAACGGAAAATTTCCGTTGGAATGTAAGAGGTTTTTTTGTAGTGATATTGGTTCTGCCTCCTCCAAAGCATTCAGCTTACTTTTTTTTTTCTTTACCTAAGTAACATGTAAACTCATTCAATCCACCTTATATATAATTCCAGAATGCGCTGAGCCTACGTGGCTGCTTCTGGTGTTTCGGAATCTTATTTGGCAAAGAATCATGCTTTGTAATTAGGTTTGGATAAATAATATTGATATATTAATAATAAATAATCTAGGTTCGGGTATTCTATAAATATTATTTAGCTAACTTAGGTATTTTAATATTATTTTTATTAATATAACCCTTTAATTCTTTGTAATTTTACATAGTGAGGCACTAAGTGACTAATATATCCCTGAATTTTGATTTGTTTCCTTCAATAAGCTATTGAATTATAAATGTATTTTAAAAGTTGATAACTTTTGTATTTCTTATCGGTTTTACGTATATAATATATCAAATTAATCATCTTTTGATGATCTTCGATTTAACATCTATATTGTATATATGAAATAAATAAATTATATTTATCTTTATAATAATAATAAATAATAATATTTATTAAAATTCATTAGATAAATAAAAGTATTTCTCAATTGATATATTTATGTTTAATGTAGTTATATATTGTAAGTTAAAAAATTATCATAATATAACATAGTAAGTTGCACAAATAAAAAGTGTCATACTAAATATATATAATATATATATTTTTATAAAAGGTATTTAAATTTTCAACTATTTTTTCTCATTAATTTTAGATTTTAAGAAAAAAAATTAGAAAGTACCCGTGTAATACACGGGCGTTGTGCTAGTAAATATATAAAACATAATAAAAGTACACATTACCATATATTTAAATCAATAATCATAAGGGCTAGGCCCAGCAGTCAGCTTAAAAATCAGCTTACATATTTTTACTGATGTAATATGTAAACTCATTCAATAAATATATAAAACATAAATAAAAGTACACATTTTATAGGATAAGTACAATTTTTTTAATGAAATAATTCATGATTGTTGTAAAATAATAATTGATAGTTAAAATAAGTTAACAAACACATAGTATATTTTATATATGCAAAAAATTGTATGGTATTCATTCCCTTTTAATCTAAAAAAAAATAATCTGAACAGTGTATATTCTAGTTTCAAAATAATCTAATTGTTTCTCTGTTTTCATCAAGTTTCTTGATAATGTCCTGAAAATATTTCATACAGATAACTTATTTGTATGAACTTTAGTTATTTCATGATTTTAGTATAATGGAGTTTAGGAGGACTTTGATCATGCTCCCTTATTCTTGGCTAATTTACACATCCATCTACATTTACAAAGATTTTGCACATATACAAACAATTAAACTTAATTTCATATTAAACTACCGAGCTGAAAGATTTCACAGCCAAAAACACAAGTGGAAGCGACGCGACGCGACACGACACAACGCTTCATTGTCGCCGATTCAAAGTCAAAACTAAAGGCTATATAAATCTTTGAATTATACCAAGAGTTCAAATGGCTGAACTTATAACTATAATATTAGTTAGAAATGTTTTACTTTAAATGAATAATATAAATCAAAGTATCATATTCGGGTTTGTAACCGTTAGATCATCTTATAACCGTCGGGGATAGTTGATCTAACGGTTACAAACTCTGACGGAATGCTTCCGTAACGGGACCTTAGCATTTTCCTTTATTATAACCGCATTTTTATTAAGAGATATGAAGAATCAATTTTGCTGTTTTACAAATAAAAAATTTTTAATCTATATGATGCAATTTTGGCATTAATTTGAGCTGAACCTCAGCGGTCGCTCGAGAGTAATCATTGTCTTAAATTTATGAGGTTTGGTCCAACTAAGTCATATTAAATAACTAAACTAAATCACATGTTTATCACGTGGAAAATTGTAATCCTTCCATGTCAAAGTCTTATACATCCGCGTCGTTTCAATCCTTATCCATCCATGTCAAAGATTGATTGTAATGTAAAATCGACCACACTATTAGTTGATCCATTAACAATCTTGCAGGCACGAGCAGGGGAGAATGTAGATGTATCAATGGGGGGCAATTGTCCACCCTCAAATTTTAATTATGTTTAACTATTGATATTAAAAATTTTAATTTGTAACCTTGAACCATGAACCCATTATGTCGTTTCTTTTGCCCCCTCTCAACTAATTTTTTAGTTTCGCCTCTGGACACGAGATCATATTTGCAACACGAGACTAATCGTGCTGACAGAAATATGTAAGGACAACTTTTGCGCACTTTGAACATAAATTGCAATTCTACTTATTCTGTTGTACCAAATTTGCAATTTTCTGCAATATTTGTTGTTTGCAGCTACATCCGTTTCTCATAAATTTGAAGACATGAACACAATCATCCCCTGCCAAAGGCCTAAATGGCCACAATCACAGGAACACTAAAACTAAGAGCAACAAACAAAAACACAAGGATCCCAACAAAAGAGAAAGATGTCTAATATCCTTTACTACAACACAACCACCATCATCCAGCCGAGTTCTCCTATTAAGGCAAGGCTGCCATCTCGGAACTTGCAACTTTACACACCACGCTTTGCCAACATTCTTTCGCTGCTTCTTTCTAATAACCACCTGATTTGCCTCACCTCTCAGTCCTGCTGATAACCTCTACAACATAAACTAAAAATGTATTCATGCCGTGTAAAAGTATGAAAGATGACATAAGTAATAAGAATTTTTCAAGAACTTACCCATGGCACATACCAAATATTAGTAGGCCGAAATTCCCAATGATGTGACCCCATTATTACCAAATTCTTTTATTCGCATTGTATGTATAAACTGAACATAACTATACATGAAACAGAATGCACAAAATGCGGACCATAGAGTAGTTCTTAATGAAGATTTCGCACGTGGGCAAGTTGGAGATGAAGAACGAATGAAATGTAAGCTCATATTAAGGCTTGTACACACCTCAAGTCGGGACAAGGATCCTCCCTCGCGTGGAATCCAAGTACGGGCTTGTAAATGCCAATGGCAGCCAAAATTCTTGCTTCAGCTTTTCAAACATCCTCATTAGCCTAAGCTTCAAAAAGTTTATAGTGGTGGAAATAATTCTAGAATTTTCATGAAAAAAGCTTCGCCTATATTCTAGAATCCACGTGTTGGGATCGAGCTGCACGATGGAAGAACTCCATTTTTCTCGCGTCCATGAAGTATTTGTACAAACGAAATAGGCTTCCCAGTTGTTCCACTGTGATAATTTAATGCATAAATGAACAAAAATTGACATAATTACTAAAATCAATAATTTATTCATTAACAATACCTCAGCAACTCTTCCCGATAAAATACTCAACGAGCGGCGAGAGTGTTGTGCAGTGAGCAATCCAGCTGTATGCAACGGCCACCCCCATATGCTTACCTCCTCCGACAACGATTTGTGCATAACACAGCGAGACTCGAGCAATAAACCATCCTAAAACCAAAAAGATTAAAAGTTTGAAACAGTTTCTATATTACATTAAATTTTACTTGAAGGAAAGACTGGAAAAGGCCAAGTCCACTTGCAGTTCAGAATACAAATTCTCATCTCGAAACCCATATTATGGTTAAAATTCAAATCACCTTAAATTGTCCAGAGACAATTTATTTATTACTCATAAAATGAGAAGAAAGAATTGCTTAAAATGTGGAGTCCAGATTAGCCCATAATGGAATTATTCATATACCCAACATACGAAGAGGCAGCCATAGAAAAACTAAACCATACCATAAAATGGAATATGTTCTTATCATTTGCTGGGCACTTCATTTCTAGGCTAAAGTAAGTGCAATCACTTACGAGATTTATTTTATATATGTGTGATGTATATACATATATACATATATATGTGCTACCTACAATATGGAGTAAAATAGATGCTAATATCAAAAGAACATTTGTAATTTTAATTCTAGAGGAAATAGATAAATGATCTAGTTGAACCACTTTTGAAGCTAATGATCACTTAGAAAGCTCGTAATTGTTCCTTTACTTGAGAGGTCATGAGATTCAGCTCTTATGATAGAACAGTACAACTGATTGCAAGTATGCAATAAAAGTAACATAATTTTCTCTGCCTATTATAGACCAGTGTTCGCCTAAACGGCCGTTTAGACCGTTTACACGCTGTTTAAACGGTAAACGGCGCTATGGTGTGCAGTTTAGCGGATAAACGGTAATTAAACGGGCTAGCCGTGTAGACGGAAAAAAACCGTGTAAAATGTGTAAACGGGACGGTATTAAACGGTATTAAACGGCCTAAACAGCCGTTTAGGCCGTTTACACGGTCCGTTTTGGAAATAAGAGCGGTTGGGCGGGAGAACAAAAAATTGATCCGTTTTGTGAGAACTATATATGCGTGCAGTGTGTTACTAACTGTTGTGTTGTAAGATGAACACCTGTGATGTTGACTGTTGTGATGTTATCTGCAATTTGCGTATGGGCTATGGCTATGTCATTGACTCATAAGTCATAATATTAATACTAATGTAGTTAAAAACGTGTAATCCGTTTAATCCCGTGTACACGCCGTGTACACCGTCTAAACACTACACGTGCCCTCGCCGACTGTTTACCGTTTAGCGTTTAGGCTAACACTGTTATAGACACAAAAAACTCATCTTTCAGCATATCCAGAGGAAGATTTTCCTAAAATCATTCCTGGATTTCTCATTTAGAAACTGTAGTATCAAAAACTTAAATCAAGAAGACAACAGCTAAGAACAGGTAGCATTTTCTCGTCCTTTAGACATCTTCTAATCCAACATGGCTGTCAAATGAAGTAAGCAAATGTATTATGCAAGAGGTGCCAAAGTCCAGTTCACACACACTTGCAACTCAAATATAGTCACACATACATAACACGGGCAATCAAATAGCAAGAACACCGGCTAAGAAGTACCATATTCTCGTCCTGTAGACATCTTATAATTCAACATGATTTTCAAAAGATGTAAGCAAATGCATTATGCAAGAGGTGCCAAAGTCAAGTTCATACACACTTGCAACTCAAATACAGTCACACATACACACACAGGCAATCAAGTAGCAACTGTAGGAAACTAATAAACTGCATTGGCACCAGATTTTCACATAAAACAGACTAAATTTGCCAAGCTCGTCTGATATTCACCATAGCTCACAGACAGAAAAAGAAAATGAAAATGAAATCTCATAATACAAATTCAGCCACACATACACATATGTTCATATTCAGAGAAATGTCTCGAACAAAAGAAAGGAGCTTTTTAAGGTCTACAAAACACACACCTGACTGATTTTCCACACAGAATCAACAGAGCTACAGCTCGAAACCTTTTCCCCCAAATACCCTTCCAACTCATTCTTCAAGAACACAAACCTCCCATTAATCCCCTCAACATCCCTCGAAGTCTGACCCAAAGCCATCACCAAATCCGGAGACAAGCGGGCCCTCAAAGCCCAAGAAACCATCAAAGATAGCCCGAAATCCACACCGCTCACGGTAATCAACCCCAGAACAAGCCTCAACACGAAAACCCCATACCCCATTTTTCTCTTCTCCTTCCTCCCCATCTTCTCCCCCAAACCCATGCTCTCAGTCGACATTGAAGGTGTGCTTGAGTCATCGGGCCTAATCCGGCCCGACTCAGGCGTCGAGGGTTCCATCGACGGCGAGGGATAGAATACAGGGCTTCTCCGGACAGCGGGCCTCGAGACGGAGAGCTTAGTGAGCGAGCTCCTGTGGATGCTCTGAGGCATGAGGTCGAGAGTGGCGTTCATGCTGGCGATGCAGATCTCGCACTTGCAGTGGGCGTCTTTCTTGCACCCGGGGAAGTAGAAGGAGGTGTCGCGTGTTTCAGACAAGCCGGGTTCCATCGTCGTGGAGGATTTCACGGAGGAATTCGGGTTTGAGTATGGCGCCGACGGAGATTGCAATGTCATACTGAACCGTTCTTCCAATGAATAGCGCAGAGAATCGATCTGGAGAGTGAGAGTGGAGAAGAGGGACAGTGAAATTTGAAAATTTTGAAACACACAACAAACATGTGCAGTGTATGTAAATGGATCAATATGCCTTATTTTATTTCAAACTAGGACAGGTACGGGCAAGTTCGAACTTACCAATAGCTATTGCCAATGGTTTTGACTTTTGAGTTTTAACGGTCGATATTATATAAACTCATATCGGCCTTGGGCCGCCGAGCCGGTCCGGTCGAGCCTATTGACCATGGTTCGGGCCCTGCTCGAATTTTAACCGTGCAGTTTTAAGGTCATGTTTTTTACTTGACCCAGTGTGTCGGGTTGGGTCCAGTCTGGCCGAAAAGATCACCATCTATATTTTTCTTTTCTACGGTCTAGATCCGGGTTTGGCCGGTCCGTGTTTTGTCCACCTCTACTCATATATGCTACATTTTATGATTAATTATGAACATTTAAATAAAAAAAAAGTTACATGATTAATACATCTTTGTTGTACCAATTATTTCTTCTTTAACTAGTACAAATCTCGTGCGATGCACGAATAAGAAATATTCATTAATATTTATAAATTTAAAATGGTATTAAATAATATTTATAAATTTAAATATGAAATATGAAATAAATATGTAGTACAATACTTTTATTAATTTATTAAAATATCATTTGAAATTTAAATTGTGCAAAATTACATAAAACATGTGACTTTAAAATTAGTGCACAACCCGTACGGTGCACGTAACTAATAATAAATTACATTATATTGATTTCAAATAAGTGTCATTAATAAGTTTATTATTTACATATTCGATTTGACTGCAATGAGATTCTATAAATTCATTATTTTGGTAAAATTTTATCATATATTTAAAAACATATGTAAATAATAAGTATAATTATAAAATTTATATTATTTTATTAATAAAAATGAAATTATTCTTTTGTCAGCTATTCAGATAAAATAATTTAAGTAGTTGAGTAACTTATTAAATTATAAATTATACTTTTTGAAATTTCAAATAAAATCAAGTTGAATAGGCGGGACAATGCAAAATTTTTCAAAAAGAATTACTATTATTATTAAGATTTGGGCGAGATTTCTGAATAATTTATATTTACTATTCCAGGAATTTGTTGGTTGCATGTTTATATATTAACAGATTTTATGTTTAGTTTTTTTTATAGTGTAGTAGTTTATGTTATCATATTTGTGACATGGTTAAAAACAAATTTTGCACATATGTCAAGAATAAAGTATTAATAAATAGCAAATATAATTGAAACCTTCAACAATATAAATAAATCAAAGTTGTTATTTCTAGTTTAGGACTTGATGGTTTTTCCCGATACCTAAAACTTTTTCTAGTTCTCTAGCAATTTAGTTGTTATTTCTTTTGTTTGTTTTTCTAGTTTTAGTTAATTCTCCATATCAATTGTGATTAGAGTGTTTAAGATTTATTTTCTATTCGTGTGTAATCGACACCAATTTTAGATTCTGAACCGCCTTCCTCGAGAGATCGACGGGGATTAGGAACAAATCTTATTAGAATATTCACTTGTGAGTTGTCCAACATTGTTTATATAGGGAAAAAAAGTCTAATTTATAAGTCTAATTGGATGCTCCTCCTTCCACCAATTGGTTTTGAGATGAAACTTCACTTGGGCTTCATTCTGCTTATGGTGCGCTTAATGTGCGTGGGATCGCACCCGTTTTACCCACGTTTCTTACATGGTATCAGAGCCGGTTCTATTGGGACCGCGCGATGACGTACCCATTTTCCCCCACATACTCGTTTATGAGAGTCTGCTTCTAGTAGGCTTGGGACATCCAGCTCCGTATAAGGGCTTAGACTTTCTTATTAAGGACTCACTTGGCTTTGGGGTGGAACCAATTGGTTTTTGGATGGAACCTCATTTCGGCTTCATCCGGGCTTTCCCTCTCTTGGTGCGCGTCATCTGCGTGGGACCACTAGTTCTCCCGTTTCTTATAAATCTTTCGATTCGACACTCGGTAATAACATAATTTGCTACAACACCCACCAAAGAGCGGGCCTAAATGGGTTGGCCCATGCGGGCGCGGGCCAGCCCGTCAATTTAATAAAAAAAAAATGATTTGTTTTTACATTTGCAAAACATAACACAACGATAAAGTACTGAGAAAACGACTCTCACCTCTTGACCTCGCTTCTCATCTCACATTAAAAAAAATAATAAATAAACGATTTCAAAAACCCAGTTTTTTTGGATATCTCTGATGGCAAAGGAAAAAACCCTAAACTCTAATCTCTCAACTCTCCCTCTCAAGCCTATCGGTGTGCGGCGACGGCGAGCGGCAAGGCAACAGATACAGCGAGCGGCGAGGCAGTGTCTTTGTAACACCCTGTTATCTTACTAATATCAGAGTCAATTTTTCGCAATTGTGGGATATTTATGTATGATAGTCTGCATATTTTATTTATACCACGAGTTTAGTTACTTCCGCTTGCGATTCAGTTTATAGTTATCGAACTTGCATGTTAGTATTTCAGTTTAACTCAGTCTTTAACTTGAGTCCAGTAGCACATGCATGTTTGATGTTCTGTTTTTCTTTATGTCTAACCGAGTTTGTTAGGCCCAATTTAAGGAAAACAGACTTCCAGATCAGATAAGTTTTCTGTAGCATCCCGAGTTTTGATTTCGCAAATTCATAGGTATTTTTAGAAAAGATTTTTGCGAAAAATTGACTCTTATATTAATAAAATAACGTGGTGTTACAGTCTCTGAGCGGCAACGGCAAAAAAGCTTCCACTCTGGTACTTGACCGATGATTAGATATCACAAACCCGGCCTGGCCCGCCCAGCCAAACGGCGGGTTTTGACGGGCTGCGGGCCAGCCCGCGCTGCCGGTTTCGACATGTAAAAGTACCTAATTCAGAATTTATAACTGTGCCTCACATAAAAATAAACCAGTAAAATTCTTCCAAACATGGTTCTTCCAAAGGAAAGCACAACACATAAGATCGGCAACGGCGGCGGCGGCGGTGGTCCGTGGAAAGCAGAGAAGGCTATCGCCGGCAACTCAGAAGCTCTACAAGCTCTTCGGGAGCTCATCTCTTACCCTATACTCTACTCTCGCGAGTCCAAAATACTCGGCCTAAAAGTACAGTTTTATCTCACTCACACTCGCATCCAAGCAATTTTATCATCATTTCAATAACAAAAAGTTCAGTAATTTTTTTTCCCTGCTTTAATCTTTCAGTGGCCTCGTGGTTTGCTGCTATACGGTCCACCAGGGACAGGGAAGGTGTGCTTTTTTTTTTTCCTCGTTTTTCCCCTTTATCATTCATAGCTATTAGTTTAAGCTTTTCTATATTTTGTGAATTTTCTGTTTTTGTAGACAAGCTTGGTTCGTGCAGTTGTTCGTGAATGTGATGCGCATTTGAGTATTATTAGGTAATGCTAATATGTTGCTTTGAGTGTGAATTACGATGGCATCTTGTTACTTAACTGTTGGGTTCATTATTATGTATATGTTGATGATTTGGTATCGATACTTTTATTTATGTTTTTCTTGAACACTTCTTCTGTTTTGATAAGCTGATGTATTAAGTTCCTGGCATTTTACACGATTGTTGGCACGGTAATAAAGCATATTAGCTTAAGGATGTGCATTATTTTCTCTTTTCCAGAGCCTCTTTTAGCATTCGTATTGTATGAAGCAAATTGATTTGTATACTGCTTGTTGGGTATTTCTTGCAGCCCTCATTCGGTTCACAAATCACATGCAGGAGAAAGCGAGAAAATCTTGAGGGAGGCTTTTGCTGAAGCAGCTTCTCATGCCAAATTGGGCAAACCTTCGGTTATCTTTATCGATGAAATAGATGCGCTTTGCCCCCGTCGCGACTCAAGGTGCATCCAATTATACGAAGTTTTAATCTTTAGGCTTTTCTTGTTATGATGTGATGTGGAGACTTATTTTCGATTTATCTTTGATTGTGAACTGTACTTCATGGTAATTTTAAGCTATCTTTAGCAGATAAATTTGATTCTGAACTTAATAAGATAGCATATAAAAAGATGGAGTGACAAAATATTGGCCCAATGTTGTTTGGTCTTGTTATCTTCTGTTACCAGTATCCTGCCCTCTTAGCATCTCCGATCCGAGATTATAACATGCGAATTTTTGGATGGGCTATGCCTTCAATTTCAGGAGGGAACAAGATATCCGAATAACTTCTCAGTTATTCTTGCTGATGGACTCCAACAAACATTCATCAACATCTGTATCAAATCTTGTGGTGGTTGCATCAACTAATAGGTAGTTCAACTAATTAGTTACCATGGAAATATTTGATTCCTTTTTTATTTTTTGACTGTCATTAACTTTTGTATTTATCCTATAGAGTTGATGCAATTGATCCTGCACTAAGACGTTCAGGACGTTTTGATGCCGAGGTTGAGGTTTCCTCTCCTAAAGAAGAGGAACGCTTACAAATATTGACGGTACCATATGCAACTATAATAAAAATGAAAGCTTTCACAAACCCTATCATTTCACCTGTAAACTAAACCTCAAGTTAGTTATTCCAATTTGTCAGCTCTATGCAAAGAAGCTTTATCAGGATCCAAATGTCGACCTAAAAGTTGTAGCTGCATCTTGCAATGGTTATGTCGGGGCAGACTTGGAAGCTCTATGTCGTGAAGCTGCCATGTCAGCACTGAAAAACTCATCAGATATGCATCCAGATGTTAAACGGTGTACTATAACAATGGATGACTGGAAACAGGCTAGAACTGTGGTAGGTCCCAGTATAACTAGAGGTGTCACTATGGAAATTCCAAAGGTCTCTTGGGATGACATTGGAGGATTAAAAGATGTGAAGGTTACAAACATAGCCGTAATTTACGTATTTATCCCGAGGAATTGTTGAGCTCTAATCATGTTGAATCTGATTATTTTGTTATACATATGGAACAGAAAAAGCTTCAGCAAGCGGTTGAGTGGCCTATAAAACACTCTTCTGTGTTTTCCAGACTCGGAATATCACCCATGCGTGGCATTCTTCTTCATGGGCCCCCGGGTTGCTCGAAAACAACCCTCGCAAAGGCTGCTGCTTGTGGTGCCCAAGCTTCTTTTTTCTCATTGAGGTGATTATTTCATCAGGATATTATTTAAAAGATGATTCAAATTTGCAATTTGTTGATGGTGGCAGTAATGGTTTTTCTTATTCATCTTTCTTCTAAAGTTGGTCCCGACTCCTGAAGGTCCAAACATGTTCGAAAATTGTAACGTGAATTATTTTCAAATAATTTTTGGAGACACTTACTAAATAGAAGTCTTTGTATCATTCGGTACATAGGGAGTGCAGAGTAACCAACATGGGAGTAGTTATCTTTATGAAAAAAGTGTGCTAGTCCGAACTCAACATAGAGTAATATTCTCACATTATTTTACCTACATTATAGCATATACAGGAAAGAAGCTTTTTCATTTTTTTCGTTGTTTTGAACTGATTCTCATTCTGAAAGCGAAAGGTACAGATTCTTTCTCTTATCCATCCATAGTAATTGCTGCAAACCCGTAGTACGTGACATACTGATTGTTATTTCATGATTACTTCTTAATTTTCAATTTAGTGTTACAGAAAAGTAAGACTTCTTCTGAATTAGACTATTGAATTAGACAATTGAAGATGTAAAAGCCAGACAGGCGTACCTGTAATTATCATTTTACCTGAACCTTAAAATGTTCTAGCTTACTATATTTCATTTGCCTGAGATGTTATATCCTGCATCAGTGGTGCAGAACTATATTCTATGTATGTTGGTGAAGGTGAAGCTTTGTTGCGTAATACATTTCGGAAAGCTCGTCTTGCTGCCCCAAGCATTATATTTTTCGACGAGGCTGATGTGGTTGCCGCAAAAAGGTGATTTAATTTTTGTTTCAATAGCTTTCTTTGGAGAAAATGCAACCTTGATGCTCAGTCACATTAAAGGACATTTTCATTATTTACTGCAGAGGAGGAAACTCAAATGGAAGCTCTACAGTTGGGGAACGGCTTTTATCGACTTTGCTGACTGAAATGGATGGCTTAGAGCAGGCTAAAGTATACTTATTACAAACACTTCTTCTTATTTGAAATGGAATAATTGCAATTACTTGTCCTGGGGTTTGCATTTGGGAAATGGTTTTTATCGATTTTTTATTAAAATGGAATAATTGCAATTACTTGACTGAAATGGATGACTTAGAGGCTAAGGCAGGCGAAAGTATACTGTTACAAACACGTTTTTTTATTGAAATGGGATTGCATATACTTGTCTTGGGCTTTGCTGATTTATGGAACACAACAGAGTGGATTTAGAATTACAAAAGGAACCCCTGACTTTGGTATCTAATTTATTTTTAAGGGGCTAACTGTAAATATCTTTACAAATGTAGGAGGGTTCTCAATGTGTCGAAACAATATATTTTATTTTTTTATTTTTCCATGAGTGACCCATCTGGTTTTTGCAGGGAATTCTTGTTTTGGCCGCCACAAATCGCCCTTATGCAATAGATGCTGCATTGATGCGTCCCGGTCGATTTGATTTAGTAAGTCGCCTATGGTATCCACTCTATAAATATGTATTACTAAAATCTTCAAACTGTATAAAACCTATGTATATTTTGGAAAAACTCCCCATGAGGTTTATCTGGCTAGCCAGGAAAAGAAAAATCATTTTTTAAAATAACGTCTCTAGTTCACAAGTAATGCCTGTAATTTCGAGAAATAACAGGAGATTTTGTAATTAGTCTGAAACTCATGTTTAATATGTTATGCACACTCGTTAAAGTTTTTTACTTGCTTAACTACCAACTGTCTCTCAATTTTACCAAATCAAACCTCTGTAGGCGGTAGAATTTGAAATTGTGAATGGGGAGATTTTGCCTGATCATTCAAATCACCAGTTATTTTATGAAATTCCAATTCCCCCTTGAAACTTCTTCGCTTTTACAAATTGCTCCTTCAGGAGGACGTAATTCAATGTTGCTTCTGTTGTGTTCTTTCTGTCACTTCACAAAACATAATTTGTTTAATAAGCTGTGACACCTTTGACAAATAAAAATTGGCAGCTCTTTTTTTCCTTCTTATGTTACCGATAGTTTTTATCTTTCAAGGTGTAGTTAAAGCATTTTTATAAAATAGAGTAAGGGTTAAAATGGTTAGTAGCTCATTGCAACTCAAGGGATACTCTGAAAACGTAACTCATTTTTTTTTTTTCATTTATTTTGGCAATCAAATTGTAATTTCTAGGTTTAACTCACATTTAGTAGAATCTTCCATGAATAGGTTCTTTATGTCCCCCCACCCGATCGTGAGGCCAGACACGAAATTCTACGCGTGCACACGCGCAAAATGAAAATCAAAGACGACATCAATCTTGAAGAAATAGCGCGAGATACCGAGCTCTTCACAGGTGCTGAGCTGGAGGGTCTCTGCAAGGAAGCCGGCATAGTCGCTCTACGAGAAGACATATCGGCCACAGTCGTACGAGACCGGCATTTTCGGGTCGTGATGAGATCGTTAAAACCGGGACTAACCGAAAGAGAAATTGAGTCTTATGCCTCGTTTATGAAGAATACCTCTCTAAGGCCGAAACATTCGAGTATAACTGAGCTGGGTTCACATGGAGATACTTGGAGCGCCAAAAGCGTATTTTTTGTGGTAGCTTCAGTTGTGGCTGGTTTTGTAGGTAGTGTGGTTTTGTACTCTGGTTTGATGGGTACTTCTGTTGATGCAGAAGGTACCACTGTTCAGCTGGTGAGGACATGACGGTTGATTGTTTGTGTCTAGAGATTTTGAAAACATTTAGTAACTTGTGTATAACGACTAATGTACAACGACAATCAAATCAGTTTTCCCTTGGAGCTCATAGGTCTGAGGCTATTGGCAAAAATCAAATCACTCGTCTACTCCGTAAAATATTTTCTTTTTATTTCATTATTTTAAATTATTTTAATATCACAAATATAATACTTAGATTATTGTTTTATACATATTAAATTATTTAAATTATTATCATTATATATTAGTAAAAAATAAATAGTACAACAATATTTTA